TAATGAATGAATGAATTAGTCTTATGAACGACATTAATGTTTAAATAACATCAAATCAATAATATTGATAAATTACAGCTCAATAGCATCAGCATAAAATAAACTGAATGTCAGGAGAATCAGGAAAGGTAATAGTACAAATTCATGAATTTATACTCTCTACTGAAGGCCAGGGTAGTAGTAGGGGCTGGACTTGTTTCTTTTGGACACAGAGCACTAGTTGTTTGAGGCGAATTGCAATAGCCTCTGCTGTTTGGAGTATGCGGTGCTTCGACGATTTTGGTAGTTTGTTAGGCACTCGGTATATTATAGAGAAGGATTCTTCTACGCTGGCTTTGTGACTGGTTTGCACCAGAAGGTCTAATATCGAGCTGTTAATAGTTTTAACTACACCTTTACTTAGCCATAGTTCGAAATGTTCTCGAGCACAAAAAATCAAGTTCCTAGAGCAACGGCCAACATAATTCGCTCCACAAGCGCAGTTGAATTGATAAATACAATTTGAAGTGGCCAGTCTAGGTACTTCATCTTTCAGTCGAGGTAGCTTCATCGGTCGTGTAGAGAATAATACGTGTAGTTCACCAGCATTAAAAGTTCTTTGAACTGATTTTCTTAATTTCTTCGTAATTAACTCACTTGGTTTATCGCCCATGAATTGCAGTCGTATATAAAGTGGCTTCTTGTTTACAGATAGTGGGTAGTCCTTTTCGGCTTTCTTTGTCATATGTTTCTTGATAAATTTTTCAGGATAACCATTTTCGATTAAAGTATCATATACCATGCTTAATTCATCTTTAATTACTTCTTCAGAGCATATAGCTCTAACTCTGTGGCTAAGGGTCTTCACTAAATTTCTTTTGTAATTGATGGGAACGAAGCTGTGAAAGTGTGTATATTGTCCCGTCCAAGTATTTTTTTCTATGCAAATTTTTTTAATACTACGTCTGGTTTTCTTGTAAGTAGGACATCCAGGAAGGCAATTCTGTCTTGGGATTCCACTTCGCACGTGAATTTCATGGCAGAATGTAGTTTTAACTACACTACTATTAACAGCTCGATATTAGACCTTCTGGTGCAAACCAGTCACAAAGCCAGCGTAGAAGAATCCTTCTCTATAATATACCGAGTGCCTAACAAACTACCAAAATCGTCGAAGCACCGCATACTCCAAACAGCAGAGGCTATTGCAATTCGCCTCAAACAACTAGTGCTCTGTGTCCAAAAGAAACAAGTCCAGCCCCTACTACTACCCTGGCCTTCAGTAGAGAGTATAAATTCATGAATTTGTACTATTACCTTTCCTGATTCTCCTGACATTCAGTTTATTTTATGCTGATGCTATTGAGCTGTAATTTATCAATATTATTGATTTGATGTTATTTAAACATTAATGTCGTTCATAAGACTAATTCATTCATTCATTATAATGTACATATAATTGTAGAACCAGTAATTTTTGATTATGCAAATATGTAGGAGAAAATGGAGATGAATAGGGCACACGCCACTGAGGAGATCATCGAATGACATTGCGCTCAGTGCAGGCCATCACTTGAGTGGAACCCGAATGGAAAACGACGAGTGGTTCGTCAGTGTGAGGGTGATATGGAGGAAAACCTGTGCTGGGGAGGAGGAGATGCGAGATTATCGGCAGTCGCGGACCCAGTCACCTGAAGAGGACAGCGTAAAACAAAAGAATATGGAGATGTGTTGTTGAAGCCGTATGCTTCACTCGGAACCCAAAGGAACAATAATAATGGTAATAATAATAATGAAGATAAAAATGAAATGAAACCGATCAGACAGATGGCTAATCAATTTTATCTTGATAACATCAGCGTGTCGGTGATTCAGTATAGTAAAATGGTTACCAGTCTTATATGGGAGATTCGGCGTTCATAGTTGCCTGCCTACTCCCCTCGTAACTGGTAGGAAAGAGGGAAAGTTTGGTACTAAGTTAACATTCCCATCGCACAGAAACAAAAACAAATGCCAATGCTATTGAAACATTAAAATCTTGAAGGCCTATGGTATTCTAGTCAGTGCGCAAGGAATGCAAACAAAATTAACACTGTGATAATGTCAAATATGATTAATTTGATTTTCCCAGTCAATAAGATTTGACCTAATTAATATTGTAAATGTAAATGTGGGTTGAAATAGTCTCAGCAAAACGGTAAACACTAATACACTTAGTAAATGATCACTTTTATAATTATTTTAAATGTTAATGTTTAAATGTGAATTAATTTGCTAGATAGGGCTACGCATTTAATAAATAAACACAACATTTAAAAAGTATTCGAGTGTTGGTTTGCTAGGATTTGATTTGATTGGTTACAGGGCTTTATCAGCAGCTGATGTCGGTGAGAGAACCACTGGAAAACCAGTCAGGGAGTACTGGACAGCTAGCTGTTTCGTCAGCCTATTTTCGGACTCTTCAGCAATATGCATCCGACAGCAGTGTTCAAACACAGGACCTTCTGGTTACAAGGCGAGATAATGCGTAGACTACTAAGCCACTAGGACCTGACTCCTCAATGGCTACCCCATGAATTCCAAATTCTGCGAACTACCACTGTGCGTCGGTGGCACAGCTGTAGAATGCTCTCCAACCACGCCCCATTTGGTCCGGGATTCGATCCCCGGCTACTGACGCACTCCTAAACCTCGTTAAGCCAGTAATAAGACCAGTGAAGAAGGAAGGCTGAGCATGAGGCGGCTAGCAACCCCACCCTTTAAAAATAAACACCACTGCTACTGAAACTTCAAGCCTCTAGCTTGAAGCCACCCTATGTTCCACGTAAAGGAATTACTACCACCACTGAAGAAGTGAAGAAACCTTAACAGTGTATATAAGCTTTCTGATGTGATCATGTCCTCTGACAGAGATGGTTTAATTACGAAGCTTTCAATATCCTTCTAAACAACATCGTCAATTTCTACTTCAATGTGAAGTGGGTGTATATAAGTGTACAACTTGTTAAATAACAGTTTTTCAAGAAACGGTTTTTCTAAGTATGGTCATCTTCATATGATATCAAGACTATAGCTGTTCAGGTTGGATACATATTATTTGTTCCAGGTTAATTTCACATTTCCCACTGGATTGATTATGGTGAACTGAAGTGTTCAGTCTGTATTGATGTGTTGGCTCCTAGCATGGAAAGCTTCAACATTGTCACGTCGGTGGCACAGCGGTTAGGACGCTCGCCGACCATGCACATGGTCTGGGGTTCGATCCCCGGCCGACGCACACCCGATATCAATGGTCGGCCTGCAAAATTTGGGCTACCGATATCACATGCTGAAAATTTCATACTTGTATAGAAAATACTATATGGAGTCAAGCTACAATACAATTAAAAAAATATAAAAAAACATGAATTTATTTCCCTAAACAGTAACTTCACCTTGAACATCGTCGAAGCATCTATACCAGGAACACTTCGACCCAACATAATCAGTCAAGGAGAAAATGCAAAGTTAACCTTAGAAGCTCTTTAGAATTTGAATTGATTTATGCTGAGTTTGTATATCAGTGAGAACACCCTCAGTAAACAGGAATGCAGACACATCCAGATGACGAGCCTATAGTAGGACGAAATGTGCATCTTGGATCCCACAAATCAAAGGAACTTCTTAATACTTCAGTTACTCGGTGATGATAACATCAATGAGATTTTTCAAAAATCCCTTAGGAATACGGCCGTGAAGGAGCATTCAGTTCTGCTGAATTACGCTGTCTTCAAAACCACCCCGCCCTATTCTGCTTTCGGGAGTTAAAGATAAACCACCTAATTTCAACTCTTCTTTCTCGGTGTATCTATCAATCTGACTGCTCCTGTGCAGCCAGCTACATCGGCCATACAGTTAGGTGTGTTTATCGTCAAATTCACCAACACCGTCCTGCATAGTGGTTAAGTAAAGGAAAAACAGAGTCCATTCCGACTTTTCTATACTGTTTCATCTCGTAGATACAGAATACAACATTGATGTAAACAAGGCGGCTTTCAAAGTCATCTACAGCGTACCAACTAAGCTTAATTTTACCTCGAGTTCATCTATTACATATTACTGAGGCTGGCTGTTGGAATCCACCTTAATTAAGAAGCCCTATTTATGTATCCAAAAAAAGAAGTTGGTTCAGACGCTTTCCTTATCCCCCTGACCATCAAGATTTTAACGGTCCTAAATTTATTACAGAGATTTCCTTCATTTTATTTGATATTCTACTTACTATTACACTTTCATGCTTATTACAATTTATGCGTCTTTCGTGAACTGTAATTCCTCTGATCTTAATTAACAAAAAATCGATAGTATTTAAAAAACACCAATAGTGTTAATGATGGCTATTCAAGAATATTCTATGTACATAAACATATACATGATTATAAAACCTGGGAGTACTGAACAACTGTTTCGTCCTAGTTCTGGACTCTTCATCAGCACGTGCTAACCTCCAGGGTTCGACCTAAGTACCTTCCAGTTACAAGGCGAACTAGCTCGTAGACCATTAAGCCACTGGGACCCAACCGATCCAATGGCCAGTCAGTGCATGAATTCTAACTTCTGTCAATTCATGCACGACATAGCACAACCACTACGCAATGTCTTCTTCGATGAGTTAATGAGTCACCTTCAACCTGCAGTAGCCTACAGGGCCCGGCTCCCCACTAGAACTGCAGGTAACTGCGTGAATAGGGCCAGTCGCTAGTGAGCATCACATAGATTTTCAAGTATTGGTGTTGTAAGGACTTTTTTGTTTGATTGGTTGGAGGATTTCATCATGAGCTGACATCGAAAAGGATATTCTTTGCTCAGCTTTTTTTCCTCTATATATCTGAATGAATATTTCCACTACATATAATTCCACTCGCAAAACTATCATCTTAATAATCTTCAAACGTAGAAATGTTAATCGTGCAAATATTTTGGCGCAAATTTAAAAGCATTTCTATGCTGTTTTCAGATAAACAGTGAGGCAGTTTACTTACTGAATTGATTATTTCCATTAGTATTGGTATATCCTCATCTTTTCGACATTGAATAACAACACGTCGCATTGTGAAGGAAGACTAATCCACAAGTATTTTAACTATCTCGTTCCCTAATTTTTAATGTAGACGTGTTTACGCTAAATAAAAAATAAAAAACAACTGATCAAGTAGTCAGTCATTAGATTGACCAATCACAAAAGAGAAGGTCACACACACACTGAAATGCTATTGGTTGATCATAAAACATAACAGCTGTTCAATTCGTAGATTCATATTGTTTAACTTAAATCAATAAGCTATCTGAAGACTAATCAAAAAAGAATACCTGTATATTATATATAATATATATATAAACCGAAAACTGGACAAAGCTTGAATATCAAAGGTATCGCGACTATCATATGCACAGAAGCGTTTCAGGTTCTGATAAAGAAACAACATTACTAATCCCCTTAGCCTGTCTACTACAGCTTTTAAAGTTTCGACTGAAACGCCTCTCCACTGTCACTTGTAACACAGTAGTAAGTCAGGAACATGTACCAATCGATTAAATTTATGAATTTATTCCCTCGCCTTGATGAATTTAAATAAAGCAAGAACAACAACAGTAGTGGTTTGTACAGAATAAGAAGATGGTACCAGCATTGTTTTTATTTCGTTGGCTTCTCATTAACTCAGCTGCTGCTTACAGCTTGGAAATTTTTCATGATGTCAGTTAGTGACAGAAGGTTCCGCAATTAGTGAACAGTGCTCAGAAAATTGCGCTTATATAACTTTTACGCAGGTAGTTCAAGTTTAAACAAAATTAGTCTACGCATACAATAGTAAAGGAGTTACGTAATAAAGACGAGAGATGCATAAGATTCTAAGTGACTAATAAATTAGTTAACAATGTACTAAGTTCAACTTAAATCATAGAAACAAATTTTTTTTCCTTCATGTTCTCAGTGGAACACAGGGCTCAAGCTAGAGGCTTGAAGTTTTTGCAGTAGTGTTTATTTTTACAGGATGGGGTTGCTAACCTCATGCCCAAACTTTCCTCTTACCAGCCTTTATTTCTGGCCTAGCGAGGTAAAAGAATGCTTCGGCCGGGGATGGAACCCCGAACCACGTGCACGGTCGGCGAGCCTCCTAACCGCTGTGGCACCGACGCACGTCGTAGAGACAAAAGACAAGCAAAATTACACTATATCAAAGACGGTGAAGTTTAAGCCAAAGATTACGTGATCAAATGAAAGAGAGAGAGTAAAGACATCCAGTTACCAGGCAGGGCAAGGAAAGACTGATGCTAACTGCTTCTTTTTGAACACATAAATCTGGTTTGGTTCAAGCGTTTGAAAGAAATTGCTTCGGCAAACTTGAGGAGAATCGAGCTCCTTTGTCTATTGATAATTTTAAAGGATTTCGCGATTTCCACCTCATAAGAGATGTCTGGTAATAGCGCTATTATAAAGAGTTTGTTCCCTTGAGACGTAGGCTTTTCGGTACATTTTCAGAAAATCGGAGGTGTGCCCTTCTTTCCTGATTAGTAATTACGTTATAAGATGGTTGCAGGCAATAAACAGGAAGCCGTATATCTAGATTTCGTGCTTTGTTTAGTGTATTTGCAACCTTAAGGGAACTGATGTTCCCCGTCTCTGAGATTAGAACTCACAATACCCAGTCTTGTAGTCATATACGTTAGCAATGAGTAGCTGGGGTTCATGACCGACCTCCTGTACGATTGTAATAGATAAACGGACGTATTACTGGGGAGTAGAGTAGTGAGTTTTATATGTCTACTGCCCGATGCTGATGGCAACTGAATATTCCAGAGGGATATGAATTTATTCAACGTTGCAGATATACCTTGCCGAGGACTACGAACAAGCATGAAATCTACATCCGCATCTTATTGCCGACTCCTTCCAAGCATTTGACATCAATTCAGAATACACTGCGATGGTGAGTCTCCAATGTGCTGGCCATTGAATCGGGTCCCACTGGCTGAATGGTACACGAGCCAGCTTGCCTTTTAACCGGAAGGTCCTGGGTTCAAATTCCAGTGAGTGCGTACTACCTATGACTCCCAAACTAGGATGAAACAGCTGTTCAGTACTCCCTGGTTTTCAATGGTTCTCTAACTGATATCAATCTGTGATCAACTTGTAAAAAATAAAACTAACCCTTACAAACTAAACTATAGACAATTGTAAGATGTCAGAAGTAAATTTTGAGACCCGAAGACATAAGTGAAGAATACTTATCTCATGTATTGGAACACATTACCAACCAAAATCAGGCCTTTCCTCCAGTTAAGTAGGAACTTGAGAATTAGAAGCTTGTACACATCTGAAATACACACAAGAGTAGAGATAATACCATTAGAGAGGTCATATCTTAATCGATTAAAACAAACCGGGTGAAAGAGAAAATATATGCAACAAAGAGAGAGATGGAAGTTTTGGTAGCCTTATTTCTAAGCAGGCCGCTTCCGAGTTTGGTGACTACATCGAAAACTTCGCCAACACCAGGGAATACATACATACTTACTAGAGACAACAGCGAACTTGATGACACCACTACTGGAGAAGGTGTGGAAGGAGGGCAAGGTACGCGAGGATTGGAAGAAAGGCTACTTATTCAAACTACCAAAGAAAGGAGACTTAAGTCAGTGCAAGAACTGGCGCGGAATTATGCTCCTGTCCATCCCAAGCAAAATACTAAGCCGCATCATCCTGGAGAGAATCAAACAAGCCAACCTGGATGAAAAACTTCGACCGAAACAGGCTGGATTCAGGAGAAACAAGTCATGTGTTGATCAAATCGCCACACTGTGGATCATCATTGAACAAAGCTTGGAATAGCAGTCACCTCTCTACCTCTATCTCAACTTCATCGACTTTGTAAAGGCCTTCGACAGCGTCGATCAAGAGGTGATTAGGCAAATACTTCGATACTATGGCTTGCCTCCAACAAATATACATCTCATCCAACAGTTGTGCGACAACGCTGCATGCCAAGTAATCCACAACGGGAAACTTACGGAATCCTTCGAAGTGAGGACAGGAGTAAGACAAGGTTGGCTGGCTGCCTACTATCGCCAATGATTTTCCTGATTACAGTAGACTGGAGAACGCGAAAGACAGAGGGCAGCGAGGAAACGGGCATAAAATGGACCCACACAAAAAACTCCGAGGATCTGGACTTCGCTGATGACATATGTCTGATTTCACACAAACTGGAAGATATGCAAGTGAAAAGCAACAAGTTGGCAATCGAAGAAGCATCAAAGATAGGATTTCAGGTGAACATAGAGAAAGCAGAGGTGATGAAGATTCCCGGGCAACAGCAACAACAACAACAACAGACAACAATCAGCATAAATGGGAGGAACCTGAAAGAAACAACCTCATTTACCTACCCACCCACCTTGGAAGCATCGTTTCAACTACAGGTGGACGGAACTGACGAGGATATCAAAGCAATGATAGGGAAAGCAAGGCAAGCTTTCATTTCTCTCAAGTCTGCGTGGAGGTCAACAACACTCAACATGAAAAATAAGATCCGGATTTTCAACTCGAATGCGAAGTCTGTGCTACTATACGGATCAGAGACTTAGCACGTCATAAAGAGCATCTCAGACAAACTACAGACCTTTATCAACAGTCAACTGTCTTCGCTCAATACTCAAGATCAGATGGCCAGAAAACATCAGCAACAGGGATCTCTGCGAGCGAACCAAACAGGAACCGATTGTGAAACAAATAGGCAGGAAGAAATGGAGGTGGATTCGAGACCATACTCTGAGGAAACCATCAAGTGACATCACTAGACAAGCCACTGCTAGAGTGGAACCCGAAAGGGAAGCGGTGAGTTGGTCGTCAGTGCGAGCTTGACTTGGAGGAGGTCATGTGAAGAGGAGATGAAAGCATGTGGGCAGACTTGGAGCCAGGTGAAAACGTTGGCGGAGAACCGAACGCAATGGACACTTTTGGATGAAGCCCTATGTTCCTCTAGGAATTAAAGGAAATAATAATTATAATAGTGACCAATCAGTGTAGTAATTACGACATTGTAAGTTACATTTATGCATGAACTCTAATAGATGTCGATTGAATTACACGCACCCACACACACACTGAATGATTTACACACCTTTGCTTTTATAAAATACTTGTAACATTCGAATCACTCTTCATCTACCTGTATCTAGGCAACTGGATAGTATCTTCAGCGTTCAATTCGATTAACCCAATTCTAAATCTAACGACCACAATGTTTGAAAGACATTCATGATGATGTCATTCAAGATTTACTTGATATTCTAAGTGATGTGAAGATTGCTACTGTTGAAACGAACTGCATAGTTATTACTGCTCGCTAATCTCGACAGTTCTCTAAATTACTCACACTATTGACTGGTGCTGATGATTTTCAAGATGTAACAGGCAAGTTTGGAATTTGCAATTTTCAAAGTTTAAGGAAGTGAAATTTCAGCGCAAATTCTTTTGGAAACTGTAATTATTGAGATCAAAATAAGGGATCTACTTGATGACAACATAAATTGCAATCAAGAAATCAGGCATAAATGCATGCATGACTCCACATACTACTGACGAGTGATTTGAGTAGTTTGTTATCATTCACACCAACCACTAGTGCTTGTTAACCAGATCAAAGTGAACTGGTTCAAATCCAAGCTGGTAGACGGCATTGCAAATCAATACCTCATTTCATCAACGTCATATTCCAAAATCCTTGTTGAAGTGAATCAAAGAGCATTGAAAGCTGTCAAAAATAATGACAAAATCGTCATACAGCGACCTGACAAAGGCTCAGGGTGAAGATGACTACATTGCAGAGATGAAAACTGTCTTAAATGACACTTTGAGGTTTAAAATTGATGATTTCCAAAAAGATAAGACAAATGCAGTTGAAAAACGTGTCGCAAACGTATTGAGAGATCTTATAAAGAAGAAATAGGTCGACAACAATGCTTACAATGATTTGAAACCCAGAGGGTCTGGTTTGCCACAAATGTGTGGCTTTCCGAAAACACATAAAACACAAGTCACCCTGGGATCTATACTTTCGATGATCAACTCATCGCAGCACAAAATTACTCTCTGACTTGCGCAGAAGTTGGAACTCA